TGAAGGACCTCAGTCGCCTCAAAAAATAGAGACGACTCTGGCCCTTCCTGTAAAGTGCTGTGGTGTTTTTAGCCCAGTCCAGTTTATTGTCAATGTGTACTCCAAGGTATTTATAGTCCTCCACAATGTCAACACTGACCCCCTGAATTGAAACAGGGGTCAAGTGTTTCCTGGTCTTCCTGAAGTCCACGATCAGTTCCTTGGTCTTTGCCACGTTGAGCTGCAGATGATTCTGCTCACACCACGTGACAAAGGAGTCGACCACAGCCCGGTACTCTGTCTCATCATCCCTGCTGATGCATCCAACCACCGCAGAGTCATCAGAAAACTTCTGAAGATGGCAGGTCTCTGTGCAGTGGCTGAAGTCTGTGGTGTAGAGGGTGAAGAGGAAGGGGGAGAGGACAGTCCCCTGTGGTGCCCCTGTGTTGCTAATCACCTTGTCAGACACACACTGTGGGAGACGTACATATTGTGGTCTTCCTGTCAGGTAATCAACAATCCAGGACACCAGAGAAGCATCCACCTGCATCGCTGCTAACTTATCACCCAGGAGGGTCGGCCTGATGGTGTTGAAAGCACTGGAAAAGTCAAAAAACATGACCCTCACAGTGCTCGCCGGCTGGTCCAGATGGGTGTAGACACGATTGAGCAGGTAGATGATGGCGTCCTCTGTTCCGAGACGAGGCTGATAAGCGAACTGAAGGGGATCCAGATGTGGTCTTACTATGGGTCGCAGCTGGTCCAGGATGAGCCTTTCCAGGGTCTTCATGATGTGGGAGGTCAGTGCCACGGGCCTGTAATCCTGGGGGCCACTGGGACGAGGCGTCTTTGGTACAGGGACGAGGCATGATGTCTTCCACATCACCGGGACCCTCTGCAGACTCAGACTCAGCATAAACAGTTTATGAAAGACTCCACACAGCTGGGGGGCACAGGCCTTGAGGACAAGGGGACTCACTCCGTCTGGTCCAGCAGACTTGCCTGAGTGAAGTCTCCTCATTTGCATCTCAACCTGGTATTGAGTGAAGGTGATGGTTACTGCTCCCATTCCCCATGGGATGGACGTAGAGACCTAAAATTCATTCCAGATACACAATATAACCATCCCTCCCAAACAGTGGTCACAAATCAGTCCAAATGTGTGGTAGTGGGCACATCTGCTATATTGAGATAATCCATCCCACCTCACAGGTGTGCCACATCAGGATGCTGATCTGACATCATGAGTAGTGCACAGGTGTACCTCAGACTGCCCACAACAAAAGGCCACCCTGGAATGTGCAGTTTTTTGTGCTATTGGGGGTCTGGGGACCCAGAACCGGTCAGTATCTGGTGTGAACACCATTTGCCTCATGCAGTGCAACACATCGTCGCTATACTCCAGAGAAAACCCACACAGGCACACTGAGCACACTTAAACTCTACATTGAAATGCCCCAGTTGACCAGATAGCATCCTTTCTGTGGGACAGCAGTGCCAACCACCGCACCACAGAGCAGCCTTTTCAAGCCATTATTAGTTTGACTTACATGTTTTTGTTTCCGATGCATGCTACATGCTGGTTCTTGCTAATTAACCTGAAATATACTCTCAAGTTATAATCCTAAATTGAGAATCATAAACAGTTTGGACTTTGGAAGGTGGGGATTGAGAGCATGTGATTTTTATGTCATATTTTTCACTTTCCGTTGTCTGGATTACTCACAGCATGTGCAGAATCACATGCTTGGCGCAGTCAATGAAACCTCGCCCCCCTATTTTTTAACTTTGGCTCATCCAAAGATGTGACGTACTTTCTTACACCTTGAATGCAGGAAGTGACACCTTTCACTTCAGACTGAAACCAGCTACAGACGCTTATAAAAAAATGAACCAAGAAATTCTCTTGAGTCTCCCATATTTACGTTACCTTAAGTCTGGAACAGGAACCATTTCTAAACTGACGTTCACAGACAATAAAAAAGGGCAATTTCTCACCAGTTAAATGGTGTTAGAATTTAAATCATGCACAGTACAGAAGAGTACAGAGAATTAGCATTGAAAAAGAAGAACAAAGTTTTTCAGTCATGCAGAATCCACGATGCAAACGCAATCTCACGGATATTAAGAAAATGTTGTTCTTAGTCACATGCTTTGACACTGATGATACCCAGCCTGCAGCAACATTACATTCATGCTTGTAAATGACACATGTATATAAATAACACTAAAAGGAAAGCGCTTGAGTTTAGGCTTTGAAATTCTAATTTGTGGCTTTAACCACAGTGCTTATCTGATAAAGATTATATAATCGACACCAACATTGGCAAAAAAAGCAGTTTGCAGCTGTTTTAAAGCTACAAAAAGTGTAAGATTTATTTTTAAATGTGGACAAAATGGCCTCTAATAACTACTTTATAGTGAGCAGAGGGTACTGCAGAGGTATACGGGGTCAGACTGACAGTGGAGGCCTTCATGGAGTATGTGGCACCTGTAGGACGTTGTGGTTTCATAGGTACTAAAAGTTGACGTGCCTTGCTGCAAAATCTGGCACAGACACACAAGCACATACTCACAAACATCCCACCTTAGATAACACATCGCCCACCGGCCACCATGTGACACATTCAGAGCACCCCGTTGCCTCTTTGGGGGAATAAACATGGAAGTGTGATTGTATGTGAAATTGTATACTGTATGAGGGGCAGATATAACAGAGGTAGGGAAACTGAGCCCCCCCCAAAAAAAAGTGTACTTGAAGTTGGACAGATGTGTGGGTTACGTCTTTGACTTTTAAATCAAGTTAGACAAGGTCGCCCTCTAGTGGCAGAACAGTAAACCTCTGTTTCGCACTTAGCAGCCAGCTGGCCTGATGATATCTTATTTCTGCCACGCTGTAGTTGAATAAATAAATCCTTAAAATATTCTAAAATGAAGTTGAGCAATGAGTAAAATAATTTCTTGTTAGTGGTCCAGTGCTTTTATTGTAAAATATACAAGAAAAGGACATTGTTTCCGCCAGATAAGCCTGTATAACAATCTTGTTTGGTATAACAGTCAATGTTTTCAGTCAAATTATTTGCTTTAATAACAGCGGGGTCACTGATAACACTGAAAATATATAGTGAGCTACTTGGAATTTTTTTCCTGTCATTGTTACTGTGGAAACTAAACAAAAATCGTTAGATGCTTCACCTCAGGAAGAAACATAAATAAACCAAAAACATAAACAAACAAAAAAAGAAGATAAAAACAGTATTATAAAAAGACAAGAAAAAAACGAGAAAAAAACCCCAGAAAAATTAGCAGAAGACATTGTTTTTGTTTTCATAACATATGCAAGTCACATGTAAAGACAGTTTTAATAATAATAACAATTTATGTAGTCCTGTGAAAAACTGCGTACATCCTTACTGCTTCCACTGGAATTAAGAGGGTAAGTAGCAGTGAGGTGCTGGTAATCAAATGTATTTGATTAACTGATCAGCTAATTAAGTATGAGCACCTCTATAAAAACAGAAGATCTGAAGCTTTTTTTTTTGCAAATTATGCCACAGTTTTTTACATGGATGACTCTACAATCCCCTTACCTCAGATTGAAACTGAAAAAATCTAAGAGCTACCCCACAGACTCTACAGGCCTCAGTTAGCATGCTAAATGCTCAACACAGTTCAGGAAGAAGACTGAACGTGTATGGCTTGATTGGAGGGGTTTCTGGGACAGTGCCTCTTCTCACTAAAAAGGACATGGCAACATGGTTTAGGTTTGCAAAGTTGCATCTGAAAGAACCACGAGATATCTGGAACAATGTCCTTTGGACAAATAAGAGCAAAGTACAGATGTTTTGTTATAATGCATAGCTCCAAGTTTGCAAAAATCAAACTCAGTATATCAGCACAAACACCCCCAGCACGGTGGTGGAGAGGTGATGATTTGGGGTTATTCCTGTTGCCACAGGACTTGGGCGCCCTGAGCTGACCTCCTCTATAGACCAAAGTGTTTTAGACTTAGATGTGAGGCTGTCTGTCTGAGAGCTAAAGCCTGGCACAGCCAGGAAAATGATCCTAAGCACAGCAGCAAATCTAAATCAGAATGGCTGAAAAAGAAAACAAATGCCTGCAAATGTAAACGAACTGAAGCAACGTTGTACAGAAGACTGAGCAAAAATTCCTCCATAATGATACGAGAGACAGAAAAAGCCAAACACACCAATTCAAGTTGTTGTTGCTTAAGGTGGTTCCACAGACTACTGAATCATACTGTCTGCTTAGCTTTTCCCAGGACTGCATAGAGTCTTATGAAAAAGACTGTAGATGTTGAAAATAGTGTGATTATTTTAGGCATCCATTGTGTTGTAATACCTGACTTGTACTTAAAGAACTGCATGGCGACACTCCTTCAGCTGCTCCACTTTCCTTCCACGGCCCAAAGAAATGCTTGTTTAGGTTATTTGGCATATGGTTGTTCGTCTCCCAGACTGGATAGAGTGGAAAGTGGATGGATGCACCTATTTCATAGCAGCCGTTTTGAGACAAAATAATAGGAAACCAATGATGTTAGTTTATACGTGGTAATTGAATTCAAAATGAAACCAAAATCCAGTTTAAGCTTAAAAGCATACAAACTGTAAGGGTTAACTCAATGCACACTTTCAGGTTTTTTTTGGTGTGAAAATTGACTCACAAGTGAGTCATTTAAATAATATTCGAAAAAAAAACCAAATTTTAAACTGGTTAAAGCTATTTTAATCTTAAAATATTTGCATTGGTTAGTCACAGATTTATTCTTTTGTTCTTTTTTTTTTCCAAAGAAGGAGATGCCGTTATACCACTCACAGGTTCTGAAAGTAAAACAGTACAGTCACAGCAGTGGGCTGTGGAGGAAATGAGTTTCAGTATGTAACACCCACGGTCCCCATACATCACTGCCAAACAATCTCAAAAGAATCCAAGCTAGTATGAGGGTATCACTTCATACTATTGTGATATTCAGCAAAATCAATTAAAAGAAGCAGCGAAAAGACAGCAGATAAAGTTTTTTATTTATTTAACCCAGTGCCGATCCACATTAGCTTAAGATTTATCTTGCAGCACAAGTGCAGGACACTATTTAACAGATTTATTGATACAAAAAAGGAAAAACACTGTAAAAGCAACACAATCAGCTTGTTAGCTTCTTATCATCAAAGACATTTATTAATATTTAAACCTTCAAACTGTGTTTATATATAAAGATAACAGACTTCACTGTAGCATTATACTCTGAGTTTCTATGATAAACCAATAACTGCCCATGCAGGCCAATAAACCTAGCACTGGTGCTCCCTACAGTTTAACTCTGTAAATTATAATACTGTACAGCAATGGCAGCAAATGCAAACACACACATAGACATAGATGCACTCTGTGTTTCTTTTGAACTCAGATTACTCACCCAGACACATAGAAAGACACACAAACGCCTTCTATCTCTCAGACAGTTATGCAAACAGTAATTCTCAGGATTCATGTGCACAGAAATTGTTTGGGCGGTGTTAACCACCGAGCACACAAAGGTTACAGGTCGACCACCCGTCTCTGTCCTGCAGGCAGCAGCTAAAAATAACAAACTTTTCATTCTTTTCCACCACAAACCATCCTTCAGGGTGACTCACACGGGCCCGTTTACTAAAAGTCAGATTTTTTTTACTTTCCCGTAACTTGCAAGTTCACAATTGGTGCCGTTTTAGCCATCGTTCTTCTCTACATCACAACCACAAATGGAGGGATGTCAGGTGAAGCAACAGCTTCGCAGTGGTGATATTGGTGTCCCACAGCAATCAGGCAAAGAGCAAGTGATGTGGCTTGAAATGTTCAGCCACCTTAAAAGGTTCAGAAACAAAGTATTTTCACAATTACAAAGTCCAAACGGTTTTGGTGGTTTCGGTTTTTCTGTGTCACGTTTGTTTGTGCCTCTGGTCTTCCAATTCTGAAGAGATTTTCAGTTAATATCTGATGACACCTACATATATGTGACATCAACATTTTTTCTAGTTTAGTGATCAATATAAGGGTTTTAGAGATATATATGCATATATGCATATATATGCATATATATATATAGAAAAGTGTAGTTACAGTCATGGTCAGATGTTTACAAACACTCATCATGGACATGAATGTCATAGTAATTTTGGGCTTCCAATGATTTCTTTGAACTGTTCTTTTTCCAGGGTAGAATGATTGTACAGGATTCCATAAGTTTGAACTTATTTTGGATTTTCTCTAATCCACACAGGCTCAAACATGCATACAGACTCATATACATACATTTCCTTATTTAAATCTTTGAATAAGTGGCGCTAAAGGTTTTACATTGTCTTTAACTTGACAAGAGCAAAGCCTGTTAACGTCTCACTAGTCATCATAATTGACTACAACTGGTAATTTCAATTGCTAGCAAAAAAAGGATTTGTTTTTTCAGCACTCATTGGATTTACCAATATTGTAAAAATTGAGAAGTTCTAAGTAGGAGAATTGTAGATATCTACAAGTTGGGAAGGTCTCTTGAAGCCGTTTTTAAACAACTGCAGACTGTTCAAGCAAGTAAGTACAAGGTATTCAGATGCATCACCACTTTGCCAAGATCTGGAAAAAGACCAAAAGTGTCACCATCAGATTTGAGGAATTTGCTTAGGATGTTCAGGAACATCAAGGCTCAAGCGTGCCATGAGCTGGAAACTACTGGAACACCAGCAACACTGTCCACAGTGAGGCCAGTTTTACATCACCATGGACTAAGATGCCAACTCTGCTCCAAAACTGACACCTTCAAGCTCGACTAAAATTTGTAGCAGCCCGCATGGAACAAATGCCTTCTGGAGAAGAGTTTCATGGTCAGATGAGACAAAGATTGAGCTGTCTAGCCACAATGACACAAGGCATGGAGACTGTTTTGCAGCCAGTGGTACTGGGGGCATTCCACAGAGTAAATGTAATAATGAATGAGAATCACTACCTCCAAATTCTGCAACTTCACCTCAAATCAACATTTAGTTGACTGACAACACAACTGAGTGTTCCAACAGGACAATGAAACACACATCAAAACTGGTTTTGGAAGGTATAAACGGGCTGACAAGAAGCTGTTGGAATGGTCTTCTTAAACCTCAGCCATACTGAAAATTTGTGAACAACACTTTAAAGCCAGGTCTGTGTCAGCTAACCAACCAACTTAAATGAAGTCTACAAATTTTGGCAACAAGAGCGGTTTTTGCTTCTTGATGACTACCAAGTACATCTGGCTAAAGTGCAACTTGCTAAAGGACACTTAACCAAATGTTAGTATGGTGTTTCAAGCTTTGTGTAATTTGGACCCTGTGTGGATTAAAGAAAATCCAAAATCAGATCAAACTTGTTCACTCAAGTCTTGTTTTTTAAAGTAATTAAAGATTTATATTGCACAATCATTCCACCCTGGAAAAAGTAAAGTTCAAAGAAATCATTATAATCCTCAAATAACCATGACATTCATACCCTAGATGAGTGTTTGTAAACTTCTGACCACAACTGTAAATTTACATGACACTTCATGCAATCATATAGCTACTGAAAGTTGAAAAAATATATAACTCATCACACCATTTTCTGACATCAGAGAATAACTAAAACACACATACAAACACACACATGTACAGACACTACAACGACTTCTTAAGAGAGGAAGCACTGTTTAATCTCACCACTGGAGCTCCATTTTGCCACATCTACTTCTGCATCTCTCAGCCTTGCTATCTTTTATATAAAAGGGTTTCATCAACAAACATCTCCAGTGCTCTACCGTAAGTATAATAACTAGCATTAAATAATGTGGTTTTAGTTCTGTTTACTTTGTAGTAAATTGGTGTCCACACTAGCAGTACCCTCCCAGCTCAGCCCAGTGTTGGCTCAGCTCTGTTCCCTTCCCCCTTCCTCTGAATACTGAATTGAAGGGCACGGTGCTGAGCAGCTAGGTCAGGCTCAGAGCTTCACTGGACCTTCATCAAAGCAGCGGTGAGGGCAGACTCCAAATCAGTCTGGATAGAAAGAGACAGACACACAAAGTTATTTGCCATGCCTGCACCTTTGTCCCAAGAACACCGGAAAATTTTCAGTGTTTAATTTTCCACTTCAAAATCTATCACACAATCCTTCCTTGACAGCCTTGCATGTCCTGTTCAGACTGTAACCGCCTTTTCCTGGTAGGATGTTGTTTAGATTTCATTAGTAAAGAGACTTTTTCAGGTTGATGAGGGCAACATCAGGTTTCTAGGACATTGGTCCATTAGTCACTCGTTAAGTTTTCCATCGATTTTAAACCACTATCAAGAAACCAACCACACTAAGGCCAAAACCCACCCTATTGGTATTTTTTTCCAGACCTGCAGCACTTGTTCATTTAGATCATGCATGAAAACACAGGTGTGTATGTCAGTTTATCATGTTATCATTTTTATCTTCATTATATGTATGAAGTGTATGAAGTGAGAATGCAAAAACTCACAACACCAAAATGGTAAACGGCCTGTATTTGTGTAGTGCTTTACTAGTCCCTAAGGACCCCAAAGCGCTTTACACGTTCAGTCATCCACCCATTCACACACTGGTGATGGCAGCGACATTGTAGCCACAACCACCCTGGGGCGCACTGACAGAGGCGAGGCTGTCGGACACTGGTGCCACCGGGCCCTCTGACCACCACTAGTAGGCAACGGGTGAAGTGTCTTGTCCAAGGACACAACGACCGAGACCGTCCAAGCCGGGGCTCGAACCGGCAACCTTACAAGGCGAACTCCCAACTCTTGAGCCACGATCGCCTTAACCAAGCAAATGAATAATAAAAACATGTACTTATTGTTCTTCTTTGCAAGTTTCATATTGTCTAAGACAAAGTAGTCAGTGACAGGCACTATTAGTGTCACTGTTTGACAAATGCTTATTTACAGGTATTGAATAGCGAAACATTTCACTGGCCTAAAAAAAGTTCGCAAAATGTATATAAAAACACATACATGTACACGTACAGGTAATGACAACAAGGTACACGTATACGTAACATTTGCTCATTTTGACATCAGCTGATGATCTATTAGGATTTGAGAATTATAAACATAATTCCCAGAAGCTAAATAGATTTTTATAATCCTGGTAAAAAGTTCCATCCAGGCTGTGCAATGTGTCTAGGAGAAGTCTTGAACAGACATGCATACATATGCTATGATAATTATATGGGTTAAGAAAAGCTAATGGACCAGTCTATAGCCATTTTCATAAAACATAGCTTTATGGAAACGTAGTTTTTAGTATGTGCATTTAAGACCACTGAAAAAGGAGCATGATATGAAAGATGGGTGTAGCAACTAGGACATGAGCAACATTCATGTCAATCCATCAAAAATACCGGTTGAGACATTGAAAGGAGTTACACAAGCTGACCAAAAAAATCCCAGTCTATATGGCATTGTCAGTAACTGGACTGTTTATAAACTCAGTCTTGTAATTTTAAATCCAAAGTGGCTCTTAAGCTGTGGCTATACATAACTGTTTGATTGATCATCCAGTTTTATTAATCAAGATCGGAGTTTGAGGTTAGTCTATAAAAAGAAGCCCTCAGAGTATTTCTAAATGTAAAAATGTCACAATATCATCGGCGACAGGGTGTATTAACTTGATATAAATCCCACTCAGGAATGCAAAAAGAAACACAGCAAGCCCTTACACGTCTGTGCACTCACAAAATCCCCAAAACGCCCCCTCATATCTAAAAAGATCACATACACAAAATAATGAAACACTGCATGAATTCCACAGACATAATTGCCTGCCACACCTAAATCTACATGTGGCAGTAATGTGAGTTATTTAGGAAAGTCTATAGCACCACTGCAAAATCGACACATGGAGGCTAAAAGACAATTAGAGCATCAGCGACAGGTTAACTGTGCTGTGAGTTAGTGGAAAATCATTAGTGCAGATGGAAATTAATGCTTGTTAAAGCTGTTTGTTGTTTCAGTGTGGCAACCAGTAGGTGTCACCTTCTCCACATTAGGAAGCTGTGTTCCTTTTAAGATAACATGAGACTAAAGTTTGTTCCTTTGTCCTCCCTCTGATATCTTGGGAGCTATCAGTTCTGCCCCCATGATTCAAGTGGTAACTGTGTTTGTGTGCTGGACCGGATGTGGTGCCAGCCCCATATTTCCTCTGGTGCCTCAGATTAAAAGATGCCACTGAAAACATTTTCTTTCCATGATTAAAGATTTCACACTCTTATCTTTAGTTGTAGTTCAGCCAGCGGCAGACCTTGCGGTCCACATATCACCACCCAACCACGACAAAAATCATGCAAACACTGCCCCAAATAGACCAGCAACATTTTACTGGAAGAGGCCCCGGCCTTGGTCCTTCTTCCCAGCTGAGATCGAGGCAGGCAGAGTGCGAATTACACCCACTGTTTGAGCAGGAACTACCGGGGCCTATTTGTGGCTTTTTCATGGTCTGTCTTCAACCGCAGACATTACAGTACCTCAATGGGTTCACAGTGGGTTTCTCTGGAACTGGGCATTTCAGAGACTTTTGTCAGCAATAGTTTTAGAGACCGGCTGGTGCACAGTGCAGGATTTTCAGCTTTTCCTCTAACTCAGAGAGGAAGTACAGATGTCCTGAGGTGAATTGCTTAAAAAAATGACATGGTAGGAAATATTAAGGCAAATTACATTACAAGCCATAAACTTAATTTTGTTAGTCAGAGCATCTTTGGAAACACATGGTAACCTGCTATAGTTTGTTTTGTTTTGGTTATTCACCAAAAGAGGTTATTTTGTAATTTGTTTCCAGCACTCAGCAAGATTTGAATCAAAACATGATGGTTCTTGTTGGTTTGGGTGATTATGCTGTTAATATCCTTCCCAGTCCTTATAAATTAGATTAATACTTTTAATTAATGCATAAACTGATGTTTTAACTGTGGTTGTTACTATTTTTCCACAGATATATTTAGGAAAAGTAATGTAAAAACAAGACTTGCATGGAGACTATTTCTTTGGTGGATTTCATGGTTTCATTAACAACAGTTCTGCTCTCATAACAGTGCAAGCTGAGTACAGCCAGGTCCCCTAGCATCTTATGTGTAGCTAAATCCGACAAATCACATGCAGCGACCATGCCTACAAAAATGACAGACAAGATTACAATTACAAGGTGGATGTTAACAAGCAATATTAGATCCTTAGCAGGACTGAAACACAGACAAACTTAGCAGAAGGTCGTTCTGATTTGTAAAAGGAATGTCACTCATGTTTGTTTCATTCTTTGTAAACTACAACTGGCCCAATTTGAAAACCCATTGAATAGTGTGCTGGCATAGTGCTGGGGAAAGTAACTAGCTTTTCTATGCTTCCAGTATTGCCAGGATGTCTGGATAGCTCATACCCGATTGAAGACTCCCTCTCCTGCGTGCCAGGAGACAAAAGCAGATAAATTTACAATAGCTAATAAAAAACTAAATTACCATGAGAAGAGTTTCTAGATTGCGTTTAATCAAATTAAATCTCTTGCTTGTTCTCTGCACAAGATTTTAACCTTCATGCAGCCAACGCCATTTCAAAAACAGCTGGTCAAAAGAACTTGGACTTCAAGTGGACTATCAGAATCAGAATACTTTATTGATCCCTGGGGGAAATTATTTGAGCAGGAGCGACTGTAACAGGCTGCACGCTGGTTGGCGCATGCGCACTGAATGTGCTACAAAGGGAAACCAGAAACCATTCTAATCACCTTGAAAGTCAGTATTTTGTATGATGACCTTTATTCTTAAATATATCCTGAACTCTCTTAGGAAGCTTTGTAGTAATTTCTTTAAGTAGTTTTCAGGAATAGGTTTCCAGACTTCTTAAAGGACATTCAAAGCTCTTCTTTGGATGTTTCTGCCTTTTGTTCTGTTCTCTTGTCAACATGATGACACAGTACTTCAATAATGTTGAGGTCTGGGCTCTGGAGAGGCCAATCCATGACTGAGTGTTCCACTGTGTGTTTTTCTATGAAGATACCTTTTTACGGCATTGGCACTGTGTTTGTCGTGCTGAAAAATGAAGCTTTTTCCAACCAGATGCTTTCCAGATGGTATTGCATGGTCAATCTCAATCTGACAGTACTCTTCTGTTTTCATACTTCCATCAAGTTTGACAAGATCACTAACACTACTGGCTGAAATGTGTCCCCAAACTATGACTGTGCCTGGGACTTTTACAGATGGCTGTAGAAATGCACTATTTTACCTCTCTGCTGCCCCCCTCTGTACATATTGATAATGATTTGAAGCAAAAATTTCAAACTTGAACTCTTAACTCCATCAGACCTGTTGTCACTAATTTTCAGTCCAGTTATTGTGTAATTTGGCATACCTCAGCTTTTACTCCCAGTTTTCCTCAAGACCGTGACTTGAGCTAACCTTCCACTGAGATCGTTTCTGATGAGCCTTCTGAAGAGTCAGATGTCTCAGGTTCTGTGTGATTTGTTTTTTATTTTTAAGGAGACAACATTCAGATACTGTTCATCTGCTGTATAGTCTTTCAGGCATGACACTTCTTCTTTTGTCCTCCACTTGTCCAATTTCCTCAGATTTCTTAAGGACACACTGCACACCATACACCATGCAGACATAACCAGTTTTCAGCTAATAGCTCTTTGGGAATCACCTTGGTAGTCACCAAAAATACTATTTTCTGCCCTTCAAACTGTGTTATCTTTGGCATTTTTCACAGATTCAACAAAAGAAATGGAAAGAAATTGTTTTTTTGTTTTGCAAAATACTAGCAACAATCTACCTAAAGATACTATTTAAGATTGTTTTTGCAAAGTTGTGTGTCAAGAGTTTTTCACAGTACTCTACTTTCATATGCAAATAACTCTTGATCCATATGTATAAACTAGATCCAAGTATGGGAAAGATGCATTGCAGCTGAATTTTTACACGTGATACTATGTTTATATTGTGAATTGATCCTGTAACTAGAATTTAATTTTCTATTAATGACAGCAATGATCTTGGCTTAATCACTGTGTCATTAGGTGATATCATAAAATCATTAAATGATCAGTATACATGAAGCTGTCTGATTTTAAAAAATAAAACAAAACTTGTCAGGTTATCTAAAAGTAAAAACAAAGACACTTTGCATCACAGCTTTAACTGCAATCTGAATCACATCACAGTAAAAGCCTGTGTTTGCTCCACATCCCAACTTGGCCAAGACTGGGAAATACATATGGTAAGAGTGTGTCTGTACAGCTGAGTATGAGAGGGGACGTTGTTATCAACTGGGCAGCCTTTCAGCTTAGGACTTGTCACAGTTCCCTCATCCAGGCCCCCTTAATGTCTGCCTTCTTTCTTAGTCTCAGGGATTAGACCAAGAAAGAGGGTCTTTTCTTCTGCCTGCTAACTCCAGACAATCGGCACAATCACTTGTTATTCTGCTCAAGTCCCACATAGTTGGAAAACAAGGAAACTTGTGGTTCAAGGAATGTTTCAAGGAAACAAGGGCTTCATTTCCTGGGAAAAATCTATTTTTACAACGAAGCCACTGCAATCTATTCAACATATCCCAAGCTCAATTTTCTGGTCAAACATGGCACAATCAATCACACTGCTAACATAGTATTTAAGAGTGTTCCTGACAAAAACAGAACCACCCTTATATCAGCAGCATGAATGGGGACTCTCTTGTGTGGGCAAAACCTAGCTTTGAAACTTGACATGAAGAGGTGACAAGGGTGCAGTGCAGTGAATTCCCACCTTTACAACATCGCTGAAAACTTTTTTTAAAAATTGAAAAAAAAATCTTTGAAAAATCAAACATGAAAATGTCCATGAGGGGATGGCATATTTAAGCTATAATGGATGATAGTTTTTTGACTGTTGTTGATGCGTGAGATTGTATTAGCTATGGATGTCAAGAACAGTCATGTGACCCAACCTTGACACATCAGCTCCACTTTTGTTTTTCTTCCTTTACAGCTTTTGTTTTGCCAGCCAGAACACCAGCTTCAAGCCAAGGCCTCTGTCAATACAGCACAAGCCAGAGTTTCCCTGGCTCCCTTTGGTGTGGAGGTAATTTATCATAAGGGGGAAATGGGCAACCACCCACATGCCACATTACATTGGCAACTCACTCAGTCATTATTGTGGGAAAGGTGTTAACAGCAGAGAAGGTAGTGTCAATGACCTCGGAGAAGGCATCTGCCATGTCGCCTAAGTGTGAAAAGAAGCTGAATATTGACCTTTAGAGGGTGTTTTCTGGTAACTGTTAGTGTGTTTCATGTTTTGTTATAATAAAAACAGCTGAAACATCAGAAATCTCCAACTTAACTGTAATTATATATATAAAAAATATAAACTGTAATATCCTTTTTTGTAATCAAAATTGGCAGACACAGCTATTAACATTGGCAGAACTAAGCTGTGAATGGTTTCCTTCCTGGCAGCTAAGTATCTTTCAGGCTATGCATTTATTGTTAATAAGCAATTTATGCTTCCTTGTATTCCTATTATTTTCCCTGTCTGCAAAACACAATGGATTAATAATGTCAGCTAAAAGAATCACATTTTTTATGCCCAATGGGAACTAAAAAAAAAAACAAAAAACAAATACAAATACAAAAACCCACATTCTTAATTTCTAATTAGTTCAACTTGAACTCCAAAGACTAAGTTAAAGATGCCACTGTGACATCACCAACTAATGCTGGCTAGTTAGCTTGGTTAGTAAGGTACATCTGTACTTTTATACTATCTGTGGTATAAAATGGGATTCTATCTTCATCAAAAACAGGGCTTGAAAAAAAAAATTAGTAAAGACACAAATGAGTTATCAGAATCAAAATATCAGAAATTGGTAACTTATCATTGTCACCAAGAAGGGGCAAATTAGCTCTAGAGACCAACACTGTTTTATGCTCCAAAGATATTTCTTTGGGAACTGACCCACTTTGAAGGCTGATTGAAGTGGTAAATTGAGGAGCTGCTTTTATGTCTTTCTTGAAATTGTTTTTCAGTTCCTGATGTTTGCTCATCATTTTGAGAAGTTATTTATTCTCCCATTGCTACAAAAACAAATATTTACATCTTTGCTGTCAGTGTTGTAAATCTTTACTACGTTAGAGTAAGTTAGAGTCACATTTGTTTCAACTTGGTAGTGAAGACACCAACAATCTTAAAAAAAAAAAAAAAAAATTATATATATATATATATATATATATAGTAAGTATGTAAGTATGTTAGAAAATAGGGGTGACGAGAGTAAACTCTGAGCTAAAACTAGCTAAAATGTTAATGGTAATGATATATGATCTACCTCCTTTATATACAAGCAGTCAATAATTTTTCCCCCTTTTTGTTCATTTTCAAAATTACAAATGACAAAATAATTAGGTTTAACTTTGAAAAGAAAACAAGTTTTATCTGTCAGTCCTTGAAGCAGTAGTTGTGCCACTGTAGTTCTTGGAGGCTGATTTGGTATGTCACAGTCCATAAATGCCAAGATGTTTTCTGTTCATGTAACCAGAAGAAATGTGGACACTTTATCACAGTCACGGTGACAAGAGGCACTCAAAACTTGGCCAGCACAGCAGGCCACTAGACAAACACTGCATATGCACTGAGGGTTTTTCTCACATCATGGACATCCTGTGATAAAGGAAAGCCTAGAAAACCTTAAGTAAAGCAGAATTTAATAAAAAAAAACAAAACAACAACAACAAAAAAAAGTCTGGTAATTTCTTCTGCTTGACATATATAATTACATGGTTCCTCATAAAGGCTTCCCAGAATAACTGTTTTGCTGAACTTTGAGGGAATACCTCAAAGGGCTTCTCATGGACTTTCTTCAGCCATGTTTTCTGGAGCTACTAGGATTGAGAGTGCCAACCATATAAGGGAAATCTTCATATGGTCTCGTAACAGAAGTTAGTCTATGTTTGATGACAGGCTGTAATTTATTATTGCAAAAACTACACTCATTGCATTTCTGAAATGCCTTTTGACACCACTAAACGGCAAAGCTGGCCTTGTTGCGTCAAGCTAAATCCTAGCACTCCAGTAACTGAATGCTATTTAAGAAATGCAAATGTGAAGCTTTTTAAAAAAAAAAAAAAAGCTTAGATTTTAGACTCACCATCCGTACAGATGAAGCACTTGCAGAGACACACACACAAGCACAAGAGGAGGACCGCTGCCACACCGCACACAGAGATGAGGATAACCATGGCTGGACCCACTGTGGCACACAAACACACAAGCTCACATTTCCTCCAAAACACAGATGATGTCTAAAAGTAGGATATATATTATGTATGACATCTGGAATAAACATGTTAGGTGATGTGGTAAGACAAGAAAGGTTCTCTGTACTAAAAATAATCCTTCCCGTACTATGTGGCATTACAGGATTCGGGACCCCATCAAAGCAGCCATAATTACCCAGCACTAAAATAGCAGAGAATTCACATTTGTCAACAAAAGCTCCTGTTCCTAGTAAAGGAGCTTTTACACATTATGGCATATTATATTTGCTATAATGTGTGACAGGACAAGACATCATTCAGGAGGTCCTCACTGTTTGTGTTGAGGGACATCAACAGGGGTTTATTCAAACCCGGGTGGTGCACGATGCACTTGATGGACAGGTCGCTGAACAGCCCAGACTGGAAGAGTAGCGTGCTCGTCACTATTGTTGTACCGTCGCCTTGTTCGTAGGCCGACGAAAATGGTGGGCCTAGGGTTCGGTTGTCACTGCCGACGTTCCACATGATCTCCGCTGCAGGCCGGGACTTGGCCGTGCAGTTGGCCTCAGTGATCCCTGAAGGTGAGGTCACCTGGCTCACCTCTGGTTTGGGTAAAACTGTAGAGAGACAGACTGAGTTAATGGCTGCTTGAAGTTTATTTTGCAATTTTTCTTAGGTCATTTTTTCATTCTGTGTTACTCTTTTTTGGTATTCTTTTAGTTACACCACAGAAAACAAAGATTTGCTCATCTGCCTTCCTAATGAAGATGGACAAACAGAGAACATCGCCTGTCAATCTTTCTGCCCCGACGACACAGTGACACAAGTCGTCCTCCGACAGGCCTGGAAACAAAAGCCAGACGGAGAACAGAGCCAGAGCAGCTTTTACTGACTGTGTGTGTGTTTATGTGTGTGTCTGGATCTGGTGTCTGCTTCCAACAGTTCAGACAAAAGCAAAGCCTGTTAGGAAAGCAACATACGCACACACACAAACACACTAGGCTTTGTGTCTAGGGAAACAGTAAACCACTCATCCCCTGGGCTTGATCCCACATTAATCACCACTTTCCCCTCTGTGACACCCCTCTCTCATTATCACTCCAAAAGCACCCACACACGCACTCACAGAGGAAGATCAGCAACTACTCTCACTCCTGGAACTTTTGCTCATGATCACTAGAGCTACATTTAGTCTTCTGATGGAAATCTACGTCCCAACTGACGTTTTAACCCAAAACTCCTTTTTTTCTCTATACCACAATCTTGCACACCATTCAAGTCAAGTTGTGGTATACACTGATCCAATGCAGTTACACTTCTCAGGAGGCGCAGGCCAGGTTACGTGGAAGCTCACAGCATACAATTAAAATGGGACTCTGGTTCTGGCATAAGTTACTGAGTAGATCTGATGCAGAAGTATAATTCATGTGTAAAAGTGTAATAGTGGTCTAAGCAACTCTCTCTCACTGAGGGGAAAAATAGATCAGAACAGTAGTTAATGACCCTCTCCAGTACCTCTCACCTTTGAGCTGCCTGTGGTTTGTTTATACACTGCTTTTCCTTTTCCTGAGCTATATACAGGATCCACACACACATACACTAGTACACATTTCCTCTCAGCCCTCAGTATATTCTCATTGTGGTACATGTCAAGACCCTTTTCCGAGAGGGTGAAAGATAAGGCAGAGACCATAGAAAGGCGCCAGCACCAGTGTATTTAGCCCGAACTTTACAGCCACACCTTGTTTTTCCTCTTTTGTGTATCATGTTCTGGGTTAAAGTTAGGAGCAGGTTTAGGGAAGAAAACTAGTTTAACTTTCTAGCATGTGACACTAACCCATACTGTATAAATGTTCCTGTAAACAAATACAGGATTGGTAATATTAATAATATGTTTTACTTTCAGAGATCCATGTTCCGCGTGGGAAATTAACAATAGCGCTACTCATTGAACTGGAATGATCAGTTTGGTCAGTTCAAGGTCCCATGCCATTTAAATTTTTTTCCAACATATTATTTTTATTCTAAATGACACTAACAATGGGCACAGATTGATGGAAAGGATGGAAACACTTTTCCATGTCAACACCCAGCGAAATATTTATCTGACATTTCCTGGAAACAGCTCACATTAGTCATTTCCAGATGTCCAGAAATAGTCTTATCATCATCTTCATCATTATTATCATTATTATTATTATTATTATTATTATTATTAAGTGTTCCCATTATAAAATGAAAATTGTAGGTGTGCCTCCTAATACAACTAAAGCTAAAAGAAAATTGTTTTTTTTAATCTGCTCTAGTTTATATTTGCTAGCAAATGCTCATGCTCCAGTATTGTTTGTACCTGTAAGCTGTTCTATGTGTCTAAACACAAAAAAGAAAAAAACCCACATTGCTAGATCTTTCAGGATTTGTGGGTATAATTGATATGTTAGTGCGAAATAGCAAAAGGATAATTTCACAAGGTGCTATAGATGCAACAAGGCAAAAAAAACAAAACAACAAAAACATGCAATTTTAGCTTGTTGCTAGGTAGTTGCACGGCAACATGATTATGCCACAATATATGAGATAGATAAGAACAATCAGGGGTCTCAGATATACCTGTGTGACAAATTTGGTTCCTCAACTCTTAATTCTGAAGGACAAGTTGGTGGTCAAAGAAACTAACAGACAGAGATTTTTGTGTATTTCAATGAGAAGATTGCCGTTGCTCTGTTGTGGGATCTCCCAATCGTTTTATGTGTATATATGGAAAACTGGAGGCTGGGAGAGCAGCAGCAAGGGCCAACACATATAATAGGTACGACACTCACAAGCATGAAAGTAGGCTCTGTGGGAGATATGGGTTGCAAAGTGGCTTGCAGGTGGGTAGCAGCTGTTGTCAAGCTAAGGCAACTTAAATTGGGGGCTCTATATGAGATTTACCAATAAGATGTGTAGAAGGGTATCAGCTGACATGGCATGGTAATAAGATAAGCTACCATGACTACTTATCATGGCTACTGCCTGCCTGAAATAGCGCCTGAGCAATCATCCAGTGTATGATCCTTGCTTGTCTCAATTCGAGCGAGGAGGGTTGTAGTTTAACTTTGAAGAGTATATTCAAAGCTGGGGTTGTGGAGATTAGCCATATATAGAGGCGCTGATTAAATATGGCTACTGAGTTGCTAATGACTAAATGTCATGACAACTTTGTCAGCTATATGTAATGACAGACTTTGGATAACATAGAATTCATCACCTAATAGGGAACAATTTCCAAGGACCAAATACAGTAAAAAACAAAACAAAACAACCAAGTAAACAAAAAAATAAGATCTCACCATAAACAGAGAGGCATGTGGTGGCGGCCCGGGTGCCATCTGGGTACGTGTGGAACTCACAGGTGTAGCAGGCCTCGTCCTCCGTTCGGACAGCCTTTATCGTCAGCTCAGTGTGTCCCAGGGTTCGGCTCAGGCTGACCTGACCCTTGAACTGTTCCTCTATTTTGTAATGGTTGCCTTCAGCAACGGAGCCAACAGTGGTGGTGTCACCCTGCTCGGCTGTCTTCCTCCACAAGACCTGTCGGACCCTGCCAGGGAGGCTGTACCAGCATGAAAGGGTGGTCGGCTTTCCACTTATGGCAGTCTTATTGCCATCGAAATGCACTTTTCCTGGTACACAGAAAATTGTAGCCAAATCAAGTCATTTTTATTTATACAGCAGATTTTAAAATAACAGGAGTTGCTCCAAAGTGTTTTATAGTCATCTAGTATGGAAAAGTAGCTGTCTACACTGATATTCATTAACTCCATGCAGCTTTTAGGGTATAAGAGATGGTCTTTAAATAAGAATAATGTATGAGCACATTTAGCAGTAACAACAGAAAGCACTAAGGTTAGCAGCCTGGGTGGGCTCTCCTGCTCCTGCTGATCTGAGAGTTCAGACTTTAACCTGCTACTTCCGGTTTTACAGGATTTTGCTGCCCTCAGGCAAAACAAAGCTTATACTGTGCAATGTGACTTCCACAAATAAACACAGTTGCAAAAGAGGCTTTGACTTTATCATAAAGGCACAAAAGTTCAAATGTCAGTTGGAGCTGCTACCTTGAAAAATGCAGACCGAAGACTGTTGTTTTTAAGAAAACAGAATCAAGGGGATGTTATGAGAACCACCAGTAAGGATATTATTGCAGAATGGGTCTAAGGAGCTTGGAGGCTAGTGAAGAGGTTTTATCTCTCAATCAAGAAGCTTCTTCAGTTCCAGGAGAACAAGTCCCACTAGGGTTTAAATACCTGAGACTCTCCATCATTTGGTTTTAGAACTGAAGAAGCTTCTCAGATGAGAGCTTAAACACCTACAAGAAACTCAAAGTTCAGTCACTTCCACAGACATGACAGAATGGGAACATTCCTAAAAACGGCTCTGAGGTTAAAGCTCATTTTAGACATATTTGTAAGATTTACTCTCACCGATGATATTGAAGCACGCCAAGCCTTGTTGCGTGCCCTTGGGGTAAACATCAAAGATGCAGTGGTAGCAGCCGCTGTCAGCAGCCTGCACTTTCGTGAAGGTTATGTAGCTAGCGTTGTGATGAGAGACAGTGAGCTGCACATTTTGGTCTTGGTGACTGATGTGGGGCGACGTCCCCTGTTCGTACGCCAGAATGAGCTTGTGGTGCTTGTTGAGCCAGCGCACTTGGTAGACCATATCACCTGGCTCCGTAGTGATGTTGCAGCCGAGCAGTAAGGGACGACCTGCCTCTGCGGTCAGATTAGCGGGACCTAAAACCTTACCTGACGTAAGGCACAAACACAGAGTCAGCTCCTGTAACTCTAAAGACTTTTTCACTGGTAATTATGTGGGGAAGTAAGAGTAACACTGAATTTAAAAACAAAACCCTATTGCATTACAAAGTTGTGAGGGCTTGAAAAGGGGGCATCTGGACTTGTTTTTTTCTGGAAAAAAAAATTTATGTTTGACTAAAAGTGGTCTGATTGGCCTTTTTAATGCCCAGGTAATGGAGAACCTACAATGAAGTTTACACAAAAATACAAAATTCCATCCATCCATTTTTAGATCACGTGGGGTAATACAGAGGTGTTTCCAGGCTAGCCAAGAGACATAATCTCACCAATGTGTCCTGGGTTTACCCAGGACATACTCATTACACATCACAAGTAGAAGGAGGAGGGGACCTCCAGATCAGATTCCTGAACTCTATGACTAGATGGAATAAAATTAGAATATAATTTAAAATCTTTATTCTGAACCCTAAAAAAATAGGGTTCCCTAAATTTTCTTTAGGGTTTTTCAAATTTTACTGATATGTCAGTACAGACTTTGTGGTTGGTTTATTGAAGCACGCCAATAAACCAACCAGATCCCTAGTTTCAAGTGTTATTTGACACATTGTGGAACTCATTTATTAAATTCTGGTCCCACTTAGAGTAAGCTAGTAGGGTAGACTATCAATTACTGTCTTCCGTGGTGTGAGGCTACCTCATTGCTATTGTATGACAGTGCATTGTGCTCGGCTTCTAACTTGTCAGATGTGGTTAAAAAAATAAAACAGCAATGGGTAAAAGTCCTAGAATAAAATCCACAACCAACTGGTGATGACACGATGGCTAATTCCATTTTTTATAAACAGCTTTTGATAAACACATTTGCTGCTGTGCAAAAATATTGTGCAATTATGCATCGAACTAATGAGTCTAGTAAGGTATGTAGAAATAATCACATCAGCGACACGAAACAGAAGTCAAACAGGTTGGGCACAACTGCTTCAATCTTAGATAATTGCATTTTTTTTAACTCTTAAAAATAAAAAATAATCACAGCTATGATATAGAGCAAGAGTAATATGAAGACAAACCAGGACATATGCAGTTACTTTCTTGCAGAGGCAATTCCATGCAAAACCAAGCTCACCATTAAACAAAAACGAACTCAATAAAGTTAGTTTTCTCTTTCTGACTTTTGCAATCTCATGCCTACAGTTTGTAAGCTAACAGTCTGCTCTGAAAACAGCCTAGGCCATTGTGAAACTTTGGTTATAGCAGCAAGTGTAATCATCATGTAAAAAAGGAGGCTATAATCATTTTGCAAAAACACAGAAAAAAAGAAGAAACTCAAAAATTAAACACGCACACGTATCTGGAATACCTTGCGTCGTAGAGACAGCTGCTCCTACGATCCAGAGCAGCAGACGCAGCGGGATAGAGGACCCGCACATCGCACACTGAAGCAGGGTAACCGACTCAAGCACTGACCCAATCTTACATCCAGACTGCAGCTGCACACACAAACGCAGTCAGGGAGTTTGACCACAACCTTAATCGCAGCGGGGAAACCTCAAGGTTAAGCACTTTTTACAGCTTCTGGCTAAATAAACAGGACAAAGAAAAAAGGAAATAATATTCCTAAAAATCATACCCCTGTCAGCTGTCCAGTGCTCTACTTGTTGAGCCGCTGCTGGTCAGAACTGTAGATCCTGCATGTTCTTGGGAAGCTGTCAGCTGTAATGGAAAAGCCAGAGGAGGACATTAGCAAAGACGTCAGCATCATAAGAAATTAAACTTTTTCTTTAGTATTCTTTTTTCTTTTGGACATCTGTGCATCCCACGGTTAGTTTCCTTTAAAAGTTGCTGCTATGGCGATTTGTAAGCATCAACAACAACAGATGCTGATTCAAGGAACATTACCTGGGGTCTAATAGGGGGTTTTATATCTTAATCAACAGCATGCGCTCACTCCGGTGAGCCCATAATTATCTGGCAACGCAACACAAGCACACCTCTTAGATGTCTAGACAACATCAAGCCCTGAGGTTTCGACATCGATACCTGCAACCACAAAGGAATTACAGTGGCCGGATGCTGAAGATGGAGGTTGGAGGGAGTCATTAAGGTGAGCACAGCATGCACAAGGACATGCAAAGCAGAGGGTGTGCAATCACCAGCCGAGCCCAGCAGTGAGTAAGCTGTAAACATCATACTCTGGCATAGCTCTGCTCTCATTGTTTCACAGAGACAATAGAAAGTCACCACTGTGGCTTTACTTGTGAATTGTACTTGGCTTGCATCAGCTCTCCGCATCCTGGAGAAAAAGGCTGGAGGAATTTGGCACAAAGTGACTTTTGATTAAACTTGCTCTGAGTCAGGTGAAGTGGACTTACTGGTAAAGAGAAACCTGCCTAAACCACAAGACAGACCACGTCCAGACCTCACAGCTTTTACGGGCATTATTTTGCACCATTTACACTGTCAGCCATCTGGCTTCAAACAAGCTGCCTGCTCCTGTTGGGCAACAGTTAAATCACTTTTCCACTATAAAGCCATACTGATGTCTCACAGTAGGCTGGGAGACTCAGTCAACAAGGCCAAACAGATGTAGGCTTTTATTGTGAAAGTCCAGCCTAATTTTCTTCACATCCAAGGCAAGTCATCAATGGAAGAGACAGCGAGGGAGCTAGAAGTTGACTGACAACAACATTTCAAGATCAACAAGTGAGGAAGTGAAACCTGGGTGCCAACCAAAATCCAGCCTCAGGAGACAGACTGAACACATCTTGAACAGATTTCTAAAAATAAATAAATAAATAAATAAAACAACAACAACAACACACACACAAAGATAATTTCCCCCACATTTAAAAACAAAGTTATCACATTTTTATTTTTCAAATAACAAAACGAATTCTCTTTTCATGAGAAAATCACTGTACTTAATAATATACTATATAATACTATAGTATAAAATAATAGGGACAGATTAGTGCAATGCATGAAAAATGCACAGTAAATATCAGTAAGCATATCTAAGTAAATATCAATCCTTTAAAATACTTTAGTCACAGGTGCAAAACAGGAAAAGTGTGATAAAGTTTGAGTTTATATTAATCCAAGTCATTTTAAGTCGATCACAGTCATTCGCTATGAAGGTTAAGGTCAAAGTTAGAGATGCTGTGAAGAATTTGACAGCAGGTGGGTTCAATTTAAACGCTCAAAGAAACAAATGCAAAGCATGCAAGCGTTAACCTTTAAAAATATTTCAGTCCTTCCGCACGTGCTTACTTAAAACTGTTCAGAATTTACAAGGAAAAAAATAAAAATAAATAAATACCTGCTGACAGAGTTTAATCCGCAAAGACAAATGGGACCCGGCGTTCGCCCTGTGCGTCAGGTGAGGTGAAACTGGAAAAGTATAATCCACAGCTCGTACATTAAACCAATACTCCAGCGTGTTGTTTCCTTCTGCGTTTTTTCAGCCCATGAACTTTGCAAACGACCCTCTGAGGACGGGAAAGATGAACAAACAGAGACCCCCAGAGGCCGAATGGCGCAACTGCAGTTCAAGAAATCAACTGCACAGGTTCAACCATTCGTTATTAGAACTAATCTGCCACAAAGAAGCTCAAAAATAACCTTAATTTATTTTATTTAAAGTGTTTATTCAAGTAGACTAAGTCGTCTTTTTTAATAAAGGGAAAATTAAAAATATTTATGAGTTATTAAAAACCTTTTTTCTGTTCTTTGTTGAATTTGGATTTTAGATTATTCTGAAAAAGGTCATGACCCCAAACCTGTTTTTTGTTTTTTTAGTGGCCTAAACCTTTGTTACATTATATACATCTTTTAAATGTAACCGAAAGCAGCAGTAAATATGAAGGTGAAAACAATTACATGGACAAAGTGGAAGCAGTTATATAAAATGATTTATTTCATGAACAGAAAACATGAAAATAAAATAAAAATCAATGTGAAAATTGTATTAACAAAAATTACAAAAAATAAACACACAGACAAAAAAATAAAGACACACAGCTACAAACATGCATCCAGACAATTAAATTTAATTACAAACTCTCAAAGCTTCAGAACACATTAAACACAATCAGACCTTCTGATTCAGTTTGATTAAATGCATTTTGTTAAGTACTGTATGTTAAGTATACAATGATCAGCTGTCTGCTAGAAAAATACAGAAGACAGCCAATAGGTTTCAGATATAGTAAAAAAACTTAAGAGCATCAGGGTTTCTAATAACAATATGACAAAGGTATCTTAGCCATATGTGTTTTTGATTGCGGATTGAATCACATCATATATTTTAGAGCAGCTGCAGGACAAAACAAAGGAGTCAAACCAAAGAGTTAGGCTACAGTAGCAAAGGTGTTAGATTAATTCAGATAGCATTTAAAAGACTTACCTTTTTCCTGTTTGTAAGAATAGTGACAACAGCAACAACACAAACGCAGATCACTGCACCCAACACAATGATCCAAGTAAAATCTGGAAGAAAACAAATGGAAATGTGACATAAAACACTTGAAAGAAATCAGGAAATATTAGACTTAATTTAAAATCTAGAATTTTAGACATGAGGATTACAGAGTAGTGACAAACCCTAATATATATAATGACTTTGAAAAAGGTACCTTCCTTTACCATCTTACCATCATCATTATCGTCATTCCCACCATGCACATGTTGGACCTCAAGAATCATCACCATCGTTTCTCTCTGAGGAGCAGAGAGCACTCGTGCTGCACATTCCACCTGCGTGCTGTTGTTACGTGAACCTGAGAGCACAGCTGTAGTGGTGACAGTGAATGTAGCGTTGGTGTTGGACACACTGACAGTGTTGTACTGTGAGAAGTTGAGGTCTTGTTGTGAGACACTGAGTGTTACAGTGGGAGCAGGTCGACCAGTGGCTGAACAGGAAACAACCTACTCTTCAGTAGAGTTTGACTCTCTGACATCAACAACAGGTTCATGCAGCTCTGTGAAGGATCAGGAAATATTATCAACATGCTCTTACAAACACACAAGCTGCCTACACATTTATGTCCTCCTTGAGGCACTTGTTGTTGGTTAAAGAAGGTAAAAGTTCTCACCATAAACTTGGTGGCAGGGTTTACCTGTGAAGGAGCCTTCAGGATAAGTGTTAAACAGGCAGTGATAGAAGTGATCTTCCTATGTCACATTCCTGATGACTACGATGAGTTCTGTAGTCCAATATATTTAAACTTAACTTTATCTGTGAAGCCGTCATTCACTCTCTGACCAAAGTACTTGTTGTAGGTGGCAACATTTGTCTCCACATCATTTGAACTTTTCTGCCATGCAACCTGAAGGATGTCTTTAGTCTCCAAGAGCTGACAGCTCAGTTCAGCATCTTCTCCCACTGCTGCCAGCACAGTCTGCTGTGTTTGTATCACTGCTGTTAGAGCTGCATGGAGGAAATGAACAGTAAGAATTTCATGCAACAAACTTAAACTGAGTGAAAGAAACAGATGCCACCTCCCTCAGCTTTTCTTTTCTTTTCAAAGATTGATAGACAAAAGCAAACACGTTTCACCTGTTGTACCTCTAATGTGAACATCAGTTACTGCTGAACCGGCTTCTTACCTGCTGGAAGGACTCCGTAGACAAAAAGCAGATATACAAGCACATTCTGTCGCATCATTGCTGCAAGTAGCTGAACTGCAGATTCCTGAGTGCGAAAAAAAAAAAAATGGAAAAGTTTTATTTTGAGCAAATGTGACCACATTTACTCCCACGCTCAAAGCCAACGCAGAAAAAGCACTTAAAATCACTAAAAGCAACAAAACGTCCTGCTTTTTATTTACTTTTGCAAAGCTAGTTTGGCTTCCTGAGAATAAAATGTAGGGTGTCACACCACAAAAGAAGTGACGAGCAACTTCATGGTATACCTCTGTCTGTTTCACACTGTTTAAAAAAAAAAAACATACTACATACAACAAGCCATACAACAAGCATACAAATTGCTCACTTTTTTTTAAACAAAATGCATTAAGTTACACCACCTCTAAATATTCATCCCTGAAGATTTAACATCCCAAGCGTACCGAACTATATGAGCTGGCACCAAACGAGACTGTCATGGTCCTGCGACCATGACTCGGTAACTTTGTGTTTGTGTTCTTTATTGTTATTATTCTCTTTATTATTCTTGGGCTGTTTTGGGATGGTTTGTGTTTTGGGATTTTAGATACTGGGTTTTGGGTTTGTGCTCCCTCTATTGGTCCCTGGTGTTAGTGTTCCCCTGTCTCGTCAGGTTAATCAGGTCCAGCTGTGTCTCCCACCTGTGTGTGATTTCCCAGTGTCTCTCTGTGTACTTATAGTGTGTGTTTGCCTCTGTTCCTCGTCGCGTCGTCTGTATTCATACCTTGTGAAATCCCCCTGCGTGCTCTCCCTGCTGTTCTCCCTTCATGTTCAGGTTTGCCACTCCTTTGTGTAGTTTATCCCAGTTTAGTTCGTCCTTAGTTCTGTTTGCCATCTCCACTTTATGTCTGGTATTGTTAATAAATCACCCTTCACATCTGAATAAGTGCTGCATTTGAGTCCTTCCACTCTTCACACGGCCGCTGCCCCGAACCGTGACAGTGACTGTGTGTGAGACCTGACTTGCACAGCAGACTTTGTTGAGAAAATGATATGCATTCATTACTGTGCCGCTTCTGGTTCCCATCAGTTAAATGCAGAATGGTCTGATGCTGTTTCTCTTCTGTTTAGTTTCAGTCTCTGATGTCTACAAAACTCTCAACTCTACTCCGGGAAACCTGAAGAAACAGAGACCTCCAGTGGCCAAGCTGAGCACCTGCTGCTGAAAGAAATAGAAGAAATTCACGCATTGTTTGCATTGTGGAATAATTCCTCAGCATATCTAATTTGCCACAAAGAAAATCAGCCATATTTTTGTGGGATTAAATAAAATAACAAAACAAAGCAGTATTTAGTGTTTTTATGAAATAAATTACATGAAATGATTTATCTTATATTGTCTCCTGAATGTTGCCAGCACAGTCTGTTGTGTCTGTTGAACCTTTAACAGGGAAAAATGAATCAGTCAGCAGCAAACAGAAACACTGGCTACAGCAGCATCCGCTTCTTATGTTTTGGAAGGACTCACACACAAAAAGCAAGTATACAAGAACGCAACGTACCATCATCGTTGCAAGTGACATTGTTTTAGTTGAGCTGCAGACTTTTATGGGTATAAAACAATGAAGAAGTTTATAGTGAAAAAATATATGCAAACTCAGTGCAGACATACCACACAATCACAGACAAGTCTAAAAAAACAACCCTGAAGAAAAACAAGTTGCTTTTCTTTCTGTTTTTGTATCCCCAGGAAGTGAAAAGCAAGAGAAACATTTATATTTTTGCCATTTCCCAGTAATCTGTATCAGATCCTCAAGTAAAGATCATTGAAACAACCTGAGCAATCGCACATGATGAATTTTTAACAGGAAAGAAAAAACCTTACATAAACTATTTATCCAATTAGTCATGATGAAATGTGTTCATGTAGAATAAAATGCAACTTTTAATTATGGGAGATGTTAATGAACAGAGAATTGTGTCAGTGAATGCCATCAGGGGTTTGTCAGCAATATTATTCTGATGTACCTTTGTCCCACCTGATTACCTTCATTAAACAGCAGCAGGATAGATGGTGGGTCTGCAGAATGACACACGACATGCAGAATCTTTTATGTTCCTCATTTTGTGTCATTTTTATCTTTTATAATATTTTTTTAAACGTTGAATAATAATATTGTCTTATTAAATTAGAATTTAAAGTGCTTCAAAAACTGCGAGCCACACAATAAAACACAACAAACTTGCATGTCCTTACAAAAAAATTCAAGATTAAACAGGTTTATTGTCACTGTGTTATGGCAAAGTTACAGCTATGGTGCGTTGGAGTGTGAGATTCAAAACAAGACAGAGGTAAGTACATATCCTTTATTAAAAGTATAAAAGATAACAACATGAAAAATATTTTCACTACAGTCATGCATAAAACAGTTCCTCCTGTTCGAGGTTAACATAGCAGATCATCTCCCTCCAGCTCCGTCTATTGCCAGCATCCTCCTCTGTCACACCAACACTCTGCAAGTCCTTCTGATGGCTGACCCCAGTTGTGTACTCCTCGCATGCTCACCTTTCCACCTGTCTCTCTCTCTCATTCACACACATGTATTTTGTCTTTCTTTTATTCCTCTTCTCTACAATGCATGCCTCCACTGCTCCAGGCTCTTCATCTGCTCCCTACTGTCACTACAGATCAAAGTATCATCTGCAAACATCATAGTTCACATAGACTTCTGCCTCATCTCATCAGTCAGCCACATCACCATTGCAAACAAGAAGGAGCTCAGAGCTGATCACTGATGTAATCTCATTTCCTGAACCTACCTGTCACTAAAACGTTCGCTTCAGCACTGCCTCACATCCTTATGTCTTATGACCTGGCCCATCCTCACATACTTCTCTAGATCCAAAAATACCCAGTGAAACTCATTCTGTCCTTCTATATTCTTCTCTATCAACACTCTCAAAGCAAACGTCACATCTGTATTCCTCTTTCTCAGAATAAAGTCATACTCCTTACTGACCATCACTTCTCTTCTTAACTAGCTTCAACAACTATTCCCCATATCTTCATGGTGTGGCTCATCAGCTTTATTCCTCTGTAGTGACTACAGCTCTGCACATCACCCTTGTTCTTGAAAACTGATACCAGTACACTTCTTTTCCGCTCCTTAGGCATCCTCAGTCTGGCTAAAAAGTCCACCGCTGTCTGTCCTAGACACTTCCATACCTGCGGTTGATCCTGGTTAAAGGCATGTCATCAGGATCAATGGCCTTCCACTCTTCGTCTTCATCATAGCTGCCCTCACTTCCTCTTTACTAATTCTCTCCACTCTCTGATTCATTAACACTCTGATTCACTCTACCTTGCTCTGCCACTTGCTTCATTCATTATCTCCTAACAGTACTCCTTGTTACTGAGCAGTTTTCGCTGTAGTTAATCGCTCCTGTAAAATAGTCAGATGTCAGATGTCTATTCATATTAATGTACAGAATTCACCTGCTTGCTGCTACTACTGCACTACTGCACATTCACCCAGTGTACATACTACATGTATATATATATAATGTTCTTCCTCTACACCCCCCCCCCCCAATTTTTGCACATGTCGAGGAGCGTGTCAGGCTACATTTCACTGTGTGTTATACTTGTATAACTATGCATGTGACAAATAAAGAACCTTGAACCTATAGTTAACCACGCTAACCAGCTGCACATCCTTTCCAGCTCAATCTCTCTCTGTCACTTTTTTTTATTTTTTTTTTTATCTTATCTTCAAGTAGTCTCAACTTTATTAATGTAGTACTGTAACTCTGTTCCAGGCATACTGACAAAAGCACTTAAAGAACTCACTTTTAAAATATTACTCTGCTATGCTTTTACTCTTACTTAAACTCAAACTATGTCCACACACACTGATGTTTTTTAGGAATTTTGTTTGCATGTTTACGCGATAAATGGGCTGGCAGGAGTTTCTGAAAAGCTCCTATTTTACTGATACCAAAACACTATTTACGTTCAGACTAAAGGCCAAAGCTACGTTCACCAAAATGTACCTGTGACCGTAACCTCACACCGCCGCTTTTTCTGCAGCTCTTTTGTTTCTTTCAGTCTGTGGTATGTGTGTAGCCTCTTCATATTTTTGAGGTGGATTTAAACTGTTTCCAACACCATCCCTTTCATGTGAACGTGTAGGGGAAACCCTTGATTAGCTAAGCAAGTTCATGACCAGCTTTGTGTTACTGAAAGATATCCTGGGTATGTTAAACTAGCTTCACAGTACAGGGCCCTTGGCAGCTCATAGTCACTGAGTCAACCACAAACTCCTTTGTATACTGAATTATTTTAGCACCATGAATACAAAGTAGAATATTAGTGAAGTGGAAATCATTTTACCATCATTTTCACCATCATCAGTCCTCTGCCAAATTATTTTAATCTTTCTACAGCTTTAGACAGAGCAGAGGATGGGATATAGGATATATGTCAGGTACATCTTTAAAAATAATTTTACCAGAAGTTACACATGTTCACATTCCAACTCTGTGTTACTCTGAGGCATGTATTTATGTCTACGTCTGAGTTACAGCTGATGGTTTTAGGTGATCCTTGTTGCACTGTATTTAACTGCTGTTAGACTGTATTCAGTTTAACAGTAAAAAAAAATGCCACGCATTTAAAGTGTGCATGTAACTCACATGGTATAACGGCAAGGTATAAAATATTATATTTTAGATATTTTATTGCTATAAAAAATTTATTTCATTTTAGCAACATAATGCAGAACATTTTAGACAGCAGCAACAAAAGATTGGTATTTTTTTTGAAGTGCTTAAAACAAGATAAACATTTTACAGTGAGCTGTATAAAACGTATGTAAAGAGCCTTAGATGGAAGCTGAGTTTTAGAGAAGTAAAGATGTGGAGGGGTCATCAGTCTGTGAAAGAAACATTTTGGGGGTTCAGTCAACTAAAGAGTCAGCGAATCTAGAGATTCTACACACACTGAATCCATACATGCAAATTTGAACCCAGCAAACATCTCCCAATATTGGTGTCTATGTGGTGCAGATTTAATAAACCGAGGGAGGAAAATTAATACTTACACAAAGACACATCGATTTATCTTCCAAAGAATTATTAAATAAACATGTAGAAAATGGATATTTATCAAACTGTCTTACCAATAATGTCATTGGCTGATTTTTGTGGTATTTTATTTGTTGTTCTCAGGGTCCCTGAGTGACAGAAGGATTTCAAACTTTTAAATAATAAATATTTGCAGATATTAGACAGGTGTCAGTGTAGGTCACATATAAGAGTCATAAAGCATTCTGTTTTAATAGGAAGAGACACATTAAAATAGGACACAAAATAAGTCAAGAGTGAAAGTTACCTCTTCTTGTCTTTTTTTTAAGCAGGACAGCTATGAAAGTGGCTACACAAGCAAAGACTATCTGCCCCACTGCTACACCTGATGCAATGATCCAGAAGGAAACTGTGAGAAAAGCAGGAAAAATATGACACTGATTAACACTGACACATCAATCATGGATCACAGTGAAATGTAGACCTACTGAAGTCATTGTTATTAGCTCCAAATTGACTCAGATAGCATCACTCTATAAATCTGTGACTTTGAAAAAGTTTCTCACCATTATAATCAGCAGTAGCAGCAGCATACACCTGCTGGACCTCAGGAACTGTCACCATCACCTCTCTGTGAGGAGCAGAGAGCACTCGTGCTGCACATCCCACCTGTGTGCTCTGTTTAAGTGAACCTGAGAGCACAGCTGTAGTGGTGACAGTGAATGTAGCGTTGGTGTTGGAAACATTGACAGTGTTGTACTGTGAGAAGTTGAGGTCTTGTTGTGAGACACTGAGTGTTATAGTGGGAGCAGGTCGACCAGTGGCTGAACAAGATACAACCCACTCTTCAGTAGAGTTTGACTCTCTGACATCAACAACAGGTTCGTGTAGCTCTGTGAAGGATCAACAAACACTTTAAGAAAAATGATTTTAAAATGCGATCAAGATCTGACAAATTTTCATTTGTTATCTTTTTTGCTGGAGCCTATTGTAATTTGAAGAAGGTAAAAGTTCTTACCATAGACTTGGAGGCAGGGTCTACCAATAAAGGCTCCTTCAGGATAAGTGTTAAACAGACAGCGATAGCATCCTTCATCCTGCTCTGTCACATTCCTGATGACTATGGAACAGTTCCATAGACCAGCATGTTTAAACTTAACTTTATCTGTAAAGCCGTCATTCACTCTCTGGCCAAAGTACTTGTTGTAGGTGGCAACATTTGTCTCCACATCATTTGAACTTTTCTGCCATGTGACCTGAAGGACGTCTTTAGTTTCCAAGAGC